CGCCCCGCCTAGCCCGGGCGCCGCGCAGGCAGCGCCCCCCGCGGGGCGCCCTGCTCCGTGCCATTCTTCGGCGGTCGCCCGCCGCTCCTTTCCGCGCGCGCCCCAGAGTCGCTTTTGTGGTCTCAGAGTCACTCCTTTGCTGTCCTGGTTTCCAAAGCTCCACGTGCTCACCGCCCACAACTTGCAGATCATTTGTTCTGCAGATGTCGGGAGAGCCTACTACGTGCCAGGCGCCGCGGGCACATGGGACACGGTGTGGAGGGTGGTGTCGCGCGACAGCCCTAAATGTGTTCGTTTGTGCACATCCGTATGGAGCACCCATTGTATGCCATATACTGCCACCAGCTCTCTGCTTGTGGTGGGACAACCGAGCAGAACAGAGACACCCAACACTGGAAGCGTGAAAGGCAGGCAAAAAGAACAAAGAGAGTCCCCAGTCAGCCACGTCCTGACGGCGGAGGGGTTTGTCCTTCCAGCTGTGGGAGTCTTAGTTCTTTCATTTAAAATGCCTTCCCTTGACTTTCACATCTGTTCCCGACGCTCTTCTCTCTGATTTGCCTCGCATGTATTTCCTCCGGTCTTATTCAGCCAGAGCAGCTCAGGATGCCAACGGGAAATGAGAACTCCCGGCTTCGTGTGCCAGCCTGAGGCCCCTTAACCCACAGATGGGCAGCTCTGTCTGTCTCATTTTCCAGCCAAGGAAGACCCACGTTCGGTCTTAGAAGATTCGACATGGCGTTACTGTGATTCCTTCGTGCGTGTAAACAAGAACGGAGTGGCCACTAGGCTCTAAAGCATTTTATGAGAGGACAAATAACAGATATGCTCGCCTCCCTCTGACCCTAGCCTAGCTCCACCTGTATGCACCAACAAAGACGACTTCAGGAGTTACGTAGGTGTGACCACCCCAAATTTGTTCACACGCTCCCTGTCGCCCCCAATCGTCAGAACCTTGGACTTCGCTCTTGTAGGAACCAGACTTGAAAAGCATGTGCATCTTTCAGCCTCTTTAATAAATGCAGTAAGGAGAGTTGAGACAAAGTTGCTTGCAGATTGTGAGGTTCCCCCATGCCAAAGCACTCAGAGGAGATGTAAAAAGGGGTGGGAGGGGGCGGGGAGAGAGGGAGAGAAAGGGCAGGCAATTAGCTGAATGTTAAACAGCTGAATTTTAAAAACTCAAAATGGATTTTTAGCCCCCACCCCCCATTTTTAGCATGTTTTCATGTTGGGAAATATTCTGAAAGAGAAAACACAGAAGGAATCAAACTTTTTTTTTAAACTTAAAAAAAAAAACCTGTTAAAATTGGACTCAGAGTAAAATAAGTGGAAACAGTAGCAAGTGACAGACTGGTGGAAAGTTTCCTTTTCCAGTCTGCGTGCCAGCGAGAGCACGGGAATGCTGCCGGGCAAATGTAAAAACCAGTCCACATGGATTTTTAACTTTCCTACAGCTTTTTCAAAATGGCCTATTTCTATTTCACTACTGTTGAATGCCAGCTTGGGTATTCCCCGCTTCTGCAAGCTTACAGAGGCAAAATCTGATTTCAAAAGTGAGTGGCTTCTTGCAGGGTTGTTTGGAAAATAGTCCTCATAAGGATGTTTTGAAAGGAGATTGGAAACACTTAAAAACAGTGTTGGTTCGGGTTCATGTTGTTCTTTTGGGGACTGCTCCTGGCCCCCTTAGGTGCTAGGGATCAAACCCAGGGCCTTGCAAGTGCTAGGCAAGGAAGGACTCTGCCACTGAGCTACACCTCCAAACCCTTTGGGGGTGTTTGATCAGAGCATTTCTGCTTTAATGCTTTAGAGGAGAAGTGGAGCTTCTTGATACAATGCCTGAAATCCAGGCCAACTTTGAAAGTCAAATCGGACTTCAATTCTTATAATTGGAAAAATGAATGAATTTGGGTAGTGTGGAAAATAAGGTAGGAAGGTGGACCTACCAGCAATGAAATGGAAATTGGAGAGTAGCTTTCTGTTTTATTACTGCAGCCTGTTGATGCCTCTGCATGATCAGTTGAGCCCAGGTGTAACTGTTTGGGGAGACATGAACTCGGGGTGTTTCAGAGTGCAGACCACATTCTAGCCATGCACCCAGGCTCAGCTGAACTGAAGGTATGATACAGGAGAGTCAGTAGGGTCCCATGTTAGTGAGTCAGTATGAGCTGGGTTGGAGTTCCTGACACCACCAGGCAAATTATTTAATCTTTTAGAGCTCTATTTCCTTTCCTATCAAATGGCTATAAAATACCAACCTCCTGGGATTCAACCCCCATGGGGCTTAAAAGGGACGAATACCTGGAAAGTGCTAAGCACAGTGGTTAGAATGGACTGAGTATCCCCTTAGTGTTACCTCTTATTCAATCTTATCATTTGTCTCTCCTGACAATTTTGGCTGACACTGAAAAAGGTCTTTTCTGTCTTTCCTACCAGAGTAGATTGTCTCCTTCACTGACTGAGCTTCTCCTGTCTATTTTCCTGCAAATTCCTCTTGTACACAGCATGATGGTAGGCATACAGCCCGTATTCAGTAAGTAACTGATGATCACCAGGATCTACCCTGTGAAAGACAGGCCAGCGGGCAAGTTGTAAACCAGTGGTGTACAGTTGTGTAATTTACATGAATCAATTAAATGTAGCCAGCAAAAACAGAGAATGACACTGTGAATGTCAAATGTGGGCAGGTGTTTTGCATGTCACTCTACTCAGAAGACATGGGACTATAATGAGGTGAGCTGGGAGAAGCACACCTGTCTCATGGCAGTCACTTGGTGACTGTTATGGTTGATACATTGTGTCAACTTGAGAAGTTTAGAAAGTTAACTAAGTGCCTCAGCAGGGGGCCAGGTCCTTACTTTGTCAACATTCTGAGCCTGTGCAAGAGGAAAGCACCGAGATGGTGTGGATAGGTAGCCTGCATACAATATAAGGGAGGAAAAGAGCCTTGCCTTCTGCCCTTTTGCTCTTGTTGCTTTTGCTGTCTTCTGCCGCCTTGAAGTGTTGCCCCTGTGTCATGCCACCCTGCCTTGGAGTCAGCTGATTATGGACTGAAACCTCCACAAACTGTGAGCTAAATAAACTTTTCCTTCCTTAATTTTGGTTGTCAGGTATTTTGTCTCAGCAATAAGAGAAAAGTATCTAAGATAGTGACTCAGGTTGACAAAGGCTCCATCTTAAAATATGCTTCATGACTGCCAGTGCAGAGTGGTGTATGGGATTAAATCATACCCTAACCCCTAATACCTATAAGTGGGACATTATTTGGAAGTAGGGTCTTTCCAGATGTAATCAACTGAAGATGAAGTCATATTAGGGTCTGTGTCAAATGAAAATCCACTGATGGTGTATTTGTAAGAGAAAGGAGAGGGAGACTTGGGTACAGAGGCACAGCAGCAGTCCTGCACAAAGAGGAGTTCCATGTGCAGATGGGGACAGACTGGAGTGCTGCATCTACAAATCAAGGAACACCAAGAATGCCCTCAATACGAGAACCTAGAAGAGCATGGAAAAATTCCTCCATAGTGCCTGTATAAGGAGCATGGCCCTGTGGACATCTTGATTTTGAATATGTAACCTCTAAAACCACAAGAGAATACATTTCTGGGCTTCAAAGACAGCCAGTTTTAGTAAATTCTTCCGACACTAAAACAGGTGGTTCGAGCTGAAAGGCTGCCCATCAACTTAAACTGCCTCTGCCTGGAATTGATGGCTGTCACTGGTCCTCACATTTTAGGGACTGAAGCAAGCCACATGACAGTCTATGTGAAAGGGGACAGCAACAAAAACCTGCAATTCTTTCTGGTTTCTGAGAGAACCAGAAATCTGGTGACCAGCGTCATATTCTGGAGGAAGAGGATCATTAATGGCTTGGACTCTTAGTGAGCTTAATGAACTTTGAATTATTAGTAGTTCTTATTATAAATTATAATGTTGTATTATTTCCTTTGTAGTTTCTCTAATTCAGTACCCCTTACACTGGAATTATACAAAAACTCTGAAAGAAAATAAAGATCAAAGCTGGGGTGCAACCCATTTGTGACCCCTCCTATCTCTCAGGAACTATTCCTATTCCCCATCCCTATTCTCCAATATATTTTCCTACTCTTCAACAAAATCAATGCTGGAATATTTTCTTTCAGGTAGGTAGTAAGCAATCATTCATTCATTCCACAGGTATTTACTAAGCATATATTATATGCCAGGTTGGAGCACAGCACTGGGGTTCAATAAATATTTGTTGATCAAATTACCAGACATGTAGAGGGAAGAATGGAGGAGTGGTAAGAGCAGAGCTGACAGGGGGCTGCTGCAGGGACCTGGCCGGAACCTGGCTAAGAGGAGGCGTGAACTCGTTCACACGAGAACTGAAATGACTAGAGTTTGCTGTTGGTGAAGATCAAGGTAGAGAAGGAAATGTCCAGATTCACCTCATATAACTGGTTGACTGGGGGATGCTGGAAATCACCAGGTGTGGAGAAAGATGGGGGGAAGAAGCTGAGCTAAAGATAAAATTCTGGACAGTTTAACCTTAAACATTAAAAAATAATTGTCCACTTCACAGAAGGTAGCCACAATGGTAAAGTTTTAGTTTAGGGGTTGGAAAACTGTGACCTATTGTTTTTGTAAATAAAGTTTTACCCGGACTCAACCACATCTGTCCCCGCATGGCCCACACGGCTCTCACATGGCAAAGGTGGGGCTAATACTTGTAAGAGCCTGTATTTGGGGAGCCTTTGAGAGAGACTGCCTGGC